TTTTTTATTTTTTTAGTTAATTCAAGTTCCGAAAATAATATTTTAAAAAAGAATTTTTGGATTTTTCCATTTATTTTGCATTTTAAAATTATTTTTAGATTTTGTTTCACGGTCTCACAAAATTAAAATGGTCTCAAATGAACCTGAACCTATATATATATATATATATATATATATATATATATATATATATATATATATATATATATATATGGTACTAATTTCTGTTTTTTCACTTGGAACTTTAATTTATTTAGGTAATTGCAAAACCCACTAAGAAAGCAGTTCAAACCAAATCTGCAACTGCAACTCCCGATAGATAATTGCTTTCCATGAAATCTGGAACACTAGTATATACTAACTTTACAGTTTTCAATACTTTTAATTTATCTTTTATATTAAAATATAATTTTATATATCTGTCTTAAATCTTTATATTAAGCAAATACAAAAGCCACCAAAAAATCTGCTGAGTCTAAGACTACCACTATCAATCCTGAGAAACCAACAATTTCACCAAAAAAAAACCTTCATCGGGTCAATGTTTTTTTTCATGCTGAATATATATTTCTGTCCTTTTTTTTTCTGATTCTAATGTTACTTATCATTGTAGCCAATAAAGTGTAATCTATCATATACGTATAAAAGGAACATCATTGCTCGTGGTACCGTTCACTTATCATCAGAAAGACAATTCGTTCATGGAGTTCCTCTACAAGATGATTGCTATAAAGTTTCCATTGATGAATTGGTAAAGAAAAGATGCATTTCTACCCCATAAAACTGGAGAATTCACAACAGTCGAGGATACATATAAAAGTTTTGTTGCTTGGCCAAAATACCTTGTGCAAGTCAATTCAAAGGTTTGTTTATGCTAACTTCTTTGTGCATTACAATTTTTTTCTTCATAAACTGGTATACTAAGTTTTGAATGAACTTATTTTTTCATTTCAAATGTTGTTTGTATAGGTACCAAATATTATATCACATCAAGACCATCAACTTCAAAACTCAAAGAAAAGGAAACCAACTTACATATCATCTGATACCCTTCTCAAGAAGACAAGAAGCAATATCAATAAGATGAATGCCTAGTTATGTCTAGGTTTTAGTTTATGTTGTGTTTGCTTTTTTTTTACCATAATTTAAATACTTGCAATTAGTACAATTTTCTTTTTCTTTTTTGGTATTTTAATTAGGAATTTAATATATGGATTTGGATTTCAATTATTACTAATATCAAATTATGAATTTTGATATTGTTTCATATTGTTGGGTTTGATTACTTTAATTTAAATTATTCTAATGTGTCTACAATGTAGAAAAAGTAACAAAAATTTAATTATTGTGGCTTTAATATAAATTTGGCCATGTTTTATAGGTTTTCAATGTCTCTAAAATTATACAATGGTTACTTTACATCATTTTTTAACGTGTGACTAAATGGTTAACAATAGTCATAATTACAAGAATTATGAGTCTAAAATTGTTTTAAAATGATGTTTTTTTTTTAAGTTTTTTTGACTAAGTTAAACAATAACAACATAAAAAAAACAATTTATGTGGCAAATAAATACCATAATTGATTGTTGTGACTAATTACTACCAAATCGTCACTTACAAAATTAATTACATGTGCCCATTTACTGAACATGATCATGTTCAACGTAATTACATGTTTCTAAAAATACCCAATAGTCTTAATACGATACCGAATAGTCATTACTTTTAATTAAATGTGTCTTTATAATACTTATGATTGTATTTCACTTAATAGTGTGTCTTTATACGATAGCCAATAGTCACAAAAGTTGATTGTTTTTGTGATTAACTATTAGCAAATCGCCACTTATGAAATTAATTACATGTGGCCATTTAGCGAACATGATCATGCTCACCGTAATTACATGTTTACAAAAGATACACAATAATCTTAATAAATTTTAAGTGTGTGACAACATATCAGAAAACAACCACACTAAAACAACATAAATGTCGCAAGTTGGTGATATACAGTCACTACAGTTACTAAATAAATGTGTCTACTGACGGTTTAACGTTACACTATTGGATAAAATGGTTGATTTAAGGAACAAAAGTCCGTACACAATTGCCACACTTTTATAATACGGCCACATATTTTCATATCATACGGACACTACATTATAACATGTTTTTTAATGTCCGATATTGGATAACTACATATAAAATATATTAACGATGTTTATACCCCATATCAAAATTCCTAGTTCTGCAACTGCTCTTGGCAATTATGTTTTACAATTCTACCCTTAATAATAATGATAATAGTGATCGAGAGTTGGTCTTGAAGTTTTCATTAATTGTTTTGGGTTTTATTGGATCCAGACTTTATATATATGTATATTCTTTTAGCTTGAACCATCACCTAATTTTGTAAGCAATCTTTTGTATTCTACACATTGGTAGTAAGAATACTATCAATATTGATGCATAAAGGATAGGAGGATATCATATTATAAAATGTCATGTTGACTCCTTTGGTGTAACGAAACGATGCAATATAGGTTGGTACATTTTAGCTTTTTTACAAAAAAGTAATAAATAAATAAAAATCCGTTAAAATAGGTCGAAAGTATGGCATGTATAATCAAACGAAAAGAGCACGAATCTTGGGATCTACATCCATTGGACTGGGAGAAAGAAATTAACATAATATTAGATAAAAAACAATTAGTCATATCAAAAAAAAAAAAAAAAAAAGCACAATCCATCGGACTTCAGAATTCAAATTTAGTATATTTGTACATTTTTCTTTTACAATAAAGTCAGTTTTTCTTTAAAAATTACGATAAAACTAGTACACATGTTTTTATCATCTACATCGTATCACTTCGATACTTTGATTTTACCGGTAACCATGGGAATGTGAGAAAGGGTGTGGTGATGTATGGAGGATAGAAGCATGCGAGAGTGCCCATTTTGTTTTACTTTTTTTTTTTTTTTTTTTAAATGTAAATCATTAATTTAATTCAAAGAAGAAGAAGTACAAGTTGGTCATTTCCAAAGACCTTGGTTTAAGTTTTTGAAACACAAAGATAATTAGTGTTAACTTTTTTTTATGAAGATTTACACACAAAGTAGCCACCTTTATTTCGATATGCGACGTCCATTTAAGCACTTTACTCACCAACAGCGAGACACAAAGTGTGTGTGTGTATATATATATATATACACACATACTAGCCATCTACCCGCACAAAGCGGCGGCGGCGAACAGATTTTTTCGATAATATGTTTTTTTTAACAAAAATGTTATGTTCTAAAAGAAAATACATATCCAAAACAATAGAATCCAACTTTGGTGTTATTTTTAACATGTTTTTATAGGAACAATGTCTCACACCATAAAACAAAGGTATTGTTATGGTTACCAAAAAATGACTTTTACTAACAATGATCATATTTGTATAATTTAGTAATCACTTTGATTTTTTTATTTATAAAATAATAGAAATATACCAAACATAGTAACAAATAGTCAAAAATAATAATGAGAGCAACAAATTAGAAATATCTTGTAAGACTTGTTGGAGTGGTGCTTTTACATTATCTTGAAAAGAAATAAAAAATAATAATGGAATAAAATTAAAATAAAAACATCAATTTCCAATTAATTATGTCAAGGGTCTCTATCTTGGTCCTTAAGTTGTACAAACGTCAATTTCCAAATAAAAACCCCTTGTGATTAACATATTTTTTAAATGTCATTGTTTCAAAATGTTTTTGCCCATTAGTTATTTTCTAATGCATTTATGTTTTACTAAACATGTTAAAAGGTGTAATTAAAAAAAACATGCCGTCAAAACTTGATACCAACCAGTTCCTTCATATTTTCTTGCATTCATTCCATATTTTCTTTTAATAAAACAAATTCAATATGAATGAAGCATCAAAAAGTTGTCAAGTAACCACTTGAAAGATCAAGTATTTTCATAAATGCATTTTCACTCTTTTTTCCAATTAATTTGATGTAGTTTGTGATTTTCTACCAAATATAGCATTTAATTTCAATAATTATCTTTATTAGGCACAAAAAGTTGTTTTGAGTTGGATGTTAATGATGTTTCTATAACTAAGTGAAAATTTCAAAAGTATAGTGATGTGATGATAAAAAAAATGTAGGGTGCTATAATAAATTACTGGAAGATGAAAGTCAAACCATGAATAGCATCATAGATTAAGAGCCAACTGAAGCAACACCAATCACTACAAGTTTATATGAAGATTTAACGGAACACCAAGGGTAAAGATGTCATTTTCAAAAAATGCAATCCACTATATTTGTATACGTATCATTGCTGTCTAAAGACATAATCAAAGCACAAAAGGTCCAAACTGTGAGTATTTTTGTCAAATTCGAAGATAAAGAAGGTTTTCAAGATTTACCATCCCACCACTCAACAGTAACTAACTATAAAGGGTAAAGATGTGATTTCCGAAAAAAATATTACAATCCCCCGAAATTAGATAATATAGCATCGTTAACTAAACAAAAGATCAAAGCATAGAGGACCAAATAAGAGTTAATTTCGTCAACATCAAAGAAAAAGAAGGTTTTCCCCTCACCATCTCTTCAATCTACCCACCGTACCTACAGTAATACCAACTTGCACCTCCAAACCCATGGGGAGAACTGCAAGTTTTTCTGCTCCAACTTAATTAGCATCATACCAAAAGCACACCAAGTAAATACTTTTTGAATACATACTGTTGGTTATAACAAAAATATGCAGATTTCACATAATAAGTAGATTAAAAAAATGACCATTTTAAACTTTAATTTGCAGACTACTTGATACCTAACTCTGCATATCAGGAAAAAAAAAGGCAAAAAGTAAACAGAAAAAAAAAAGCTAGAAATTTATCATAAAAAGGGGTTCAAAGAGAAAATAATTTACGATTTACCTCTTCCAATTAGAAGTAGTGGTGCCAATGAAGAAGTAGGGTTACCTCAAGAGTCAAGAGTTTAATTTAGACCTGCAGTCAATTAACGCACCTGATCATCCGTTTTCAGACCTAAATTACATTAAAATAGTATGGCCAAAAAAATCAGTGAAATTAAGATAAACAGGATTTAGGATTGAAAAAAAGTCAGCATTCGGCATTTTGCAAATTGATAAGTGTCTTTTCGTTTATGCAGTGGGGAGAGAACGTTGGTGGCGGTAAGGATGGTAAGAGGATGAGGCGAGTGTTGTGAAGTGTGAGGTCCTCATGGCAGTAGTGCCTGGTGCGATCCAAAAAATGGTGGTTGTTGAGTCTTGTAGAGCACCTAGATGAAGAGAAATCCAACATGTTAGGGATAAATTTGACAATAAAAGGGACGAAGATTCAATTCACCTTTTTTTCTCTAATTCAGCATGTGTCCCTAGTTCACCTTGCAGACCACTTACATTAAGATCATCTGAAAGAACATTAAGATCATCTGAAAGAACCAGGGTGCAAATATTAAAAAAAAAAAAACAACTGAGATAATTTCCCAAAGTTGTAGCTTGAATCTAGAAAAATACTGAAAAAAAACTAAATAATTATCGTTGAATTCCCACAATAAAGTAAAAACCTTTTCTTAAGTGGAAATGTGAAATGAAGTTTACCATGAAGTAGAGGAATTAGACTCGTTAGTTTGGCGTTGCCAAACCCTAATTATCCACAGAAAGTAAATGAACATCACAGTCATTACAATGAACAAATTAACCAATTTTAGTACGACACAAAAAGCAACAAATCTAAGAAAGATTAATTCAGTTTTATAAATATACAATAAAGATGGGAATTCAAATTATTTAAGTTTCATACCAGGGTTGGAACTTGAAGCGGCGTAAGAAGGAAAGGAAACTGAGTATGAAACTATCAGGCAACTTATCCCTTTCAAAAAAAAATTATGAGGTTTCTGCTTTGGTAAAACAATGGATGTCAATCAATGAGAAATTGAAAAATAAGGAGAAAATGAAACATTTGAGGACAACGTGAACTCCCTAACACACCACACACCACTGGTTGCAAAATAAACCAAAAATTGGACTTACTAGATATTCCAACTAAAAATCAGACTCGATCATGCTTCTGTTGCAAAATAAACCAAAAAAATGAACATATGTTGCTGTTGCGATAGGGGAGAGATACACAAAAGTTTGAAGCCCTACCATTTGATGTACTGCATCTAATAGTTCTAACTTAGATCTAAGGGTTTCATTTGCGAATCCTGCTCAAGATAAGTAAGGTTACAAATCAACGACTGGTGCGGTGGTGTCAAATCGTTGTCACAGGAGTGATGGATGACTAATTTATTGAGAATACGAACCCGTGAACAAATATAAAAAGACTAATTTATACATGAAGATGGGAAATCAATTCGTATTTACTAACAAGACCATAAGTCGATTTAGGAAAGGAAAGCCATACTTGTGAATTGAAGGCAATGAGCATAACAAGGGTCTAACATCTTCAATCTTCTTCAAATTACTTGAAAATCAACAAAATTAAATCAAAGAAATTATGAAATTTAAACCGAAAATAAAAAGAAAATAAAAGTGAATTGAGTATTCAAGGATTAGAAAAGAGGGGACAGAGATATTGAATTTGAAACTTAGAGAGAGAAAATATGTTTTGAGAGAGAAAGTCTTTTCTTTCATTAATTTCTTTTAATGAAAATGTTCATTACATATATAAATTACATATATAAGAACTTAAACATAATTGTAATGAAAATAACTAAAACTCAAAACTACTCTAACAAACAGTGGCAATAAACTCTTATTGATAACACTCCCCCCCCTCAAGCTAGAGGATATGGTTAAAGACCCAGCTTGATTGTAGCTTCTTGTTGTTTTGGTCCTCGTAAATACTTTGTAAGAGCATCTGCAATCTGTTGATTTGTTGAAACATGAGATAAAGAGATAAGGACACTTTTGAGTTTTTCTCTAACTAAATGACAATCTATGTCAATATGTTTAGTTCTCTCGTGAAAGACTGGATTGGAGGCTATATATAGCTGCTTGATTATCACATTTGAGGGGTATTGGCGTAATATTGGGCACTTGAAATTCTTGAAAAAGTCGACTTAACCAAGCCAATTCAGCAACTAATCTTCTCATGGATCGATATTCAGCCTCTGCTGAAGACAAAGAAACGGTAATCTGTTTCTTGGATTTCCAAGAAATAGGACTGTTTCCAAACATGATAAAATACCCATTAATCTTCTCATGGATCGATATTCAGCCTGGTGATTGGGTATGCAGCCTAATCAGAATCACAATATGCCTCAAGGATATAATTGTTATTTTGGCGAAAAAACAAGCCTTGATGTAATGTGCCTTTGAGATATTGTAATACGTGTAGAGCAACTTCATAATGTGCTTGAGATGGCGTTTGATTGAATTGACTGAGGTACTGTACTCAGTAAGACAAATCAGGTCTTGTATGAATTAAAAAAATTCAACTTTCCAATTAATTGACTATACATGGTAGGATCATCTAAAGGATTCTCCATAGCTGATACTAGAAGAATCTTGTAAGGAAGAGGAGTGGATACATCATTCAGTCACAGAATATGTATGAAGTAATTCTTTGATATATTTTTGCTGATGAACAACCATGCCATTAGGAACCTGATTAAACTCCAATCCAAGAAAGAAATAAATTTGTCCCAAATCTTTTATTTTAAACTGATCATCCAGAAAGCATTTAAGATCTGCAATTTCATCTTGATTATCTCCTGTAACTAATATGTCATCGACATAAACCGCTACAATAACAATGGAAGTAGATATGGTTTTAAGAAACAAAGAGTAAGCATTAGGTGAATGATGATAACCTCTTGTTCTTAATGCTTCGGACAATTTCGAATACCATTGCCTGGATGCTTGTTTTAAACCATATAAGTACTTTTTTAACTTGCAAACATATGAAGGGGATATTGTAGAGATTCCAGGTGGTATCCTCTGTAACGCCCGTAGATCAGGGCTAATCAATTAAGAGACGATAAGCGTCATAAATGAATTTTTGATAGAAGATTATTTAGAATAAATAAACTTAACTAAGTTTTAGTATATGTCACAAGGTTTCCGTGCATATAAAGAACGCCGAAATCCGAGTTGTAACGAAGAAGTTATGACCTGTCGAAGTTTCGCGACAGAACCGACACGACGCTGAATGACGTAAAAAGTGAATTTACGTTAGATTGATATTTAGCCTTAGCGACCTAAACAAAAGTCGTAGAGTTCATTAAACCATGAGCGTGCATAAAAAGAACGTCTGAATCTGACTTCGTATAAGGAAGTTATGATTTTTCTAAGTTTCGACTTAGCGGTATACAGCCCGAATACTCGATTTGAGATCGAGCGGTTTTTAGCCGAAACAATCTAAATGAGAATCTAAGATCTCGTCAATTGTAGTGAAAAGATAAAAAGATAGGCAAAAATGGACGTCGGATGAAGAAGTTATGAATTTATAACGGAGTTTTCCTATCCCGGCCTACTAAAAATAATATAATAAAAATAAAGTCAAAATTAGCCAACGGAGTCTAAATGAAAGTTGTAGAGCATAATCTCACCTACGCGTGGATATAAAGAACGTCGAAAATGGAGCTCGTATGCGAAAGTTATGAATTTTTGAAGATCGTGGCACACATACCAAAGCTTATCTGAAGATTACGCCCAATGTACTCTATGTATGCCCAGCGTACTCCAAAATTTCGCCCAGCGTAATCCCAGACCCAGCAGCCTATAAATAGAACCTGAGATCAGCTATTTCCCTTGCGAATTTTCTTCCTTTCTCTCTAAGTTTTGCATCGTTTTGCGTGCCAATTATATCCCGAAGCCCCTGTATCATTCCCGAGCCCCGAAGCAAGTTCCGAAGCCCCGAGGATCCCGAGAAGTGAGATTCCCGAGCCGAAGCCCTGCCCGCGAGGAGCCCGGTTTTTGTGAAGATCTTCTAGATCTACCGAAGAATACTACTTCTACAAGCCATAGTGTTGTCCGATCATCTTCTGATCAAGTGAGTGTGTAGTTAATTTCTTCTAACGCATAAATATTAAGTATTTGCTATGAAATACGTGCTATGTGTATAATATAAAGTTGTTTATATGTGTGGGTGTATAGTCCCTTTCATAAACACGGGTATAATACAAGTATTGTTTGAATGTATTAAGTATATGTTTGGGTGAGTGTGTGGTTACTTTCTTCTAAACACATAAATATGAAGTATTTGTTATAAAATACGTGCTATGTGTTTATATATTGTTGTTTATTTGAGATGAGTGTGGAATGAATGTTTTATATAGTTTTTAAATGAGTTAAATTGTATATGTATGTTATATCTACAAATATGTTGGGTAGAACATGTGTAGATGAGATGGTTGGTATGTGATAAAATGATGAGGTATGAAAGATGATTACGAATGATATTGGCAGATGCACCAATTAAAGAATGTCATAAAACTAGCAGATGCGCTTGAGAATAATATCGGTAGATGCACCAAGTAGTGAATGTCGTGATCCTAGCAGATGCGCTTATAGGATAATGTCGGCAGATGCGCCAAATAGAGATTGTCATAACAATAGCAGATGTGCTTATAGGATAATCTTAGCAGATGCGCTTATAGGATAATGTCGGCAGATGCGCCCAAAAGAGAATGTCATAAACCTGGCAGTCGCGCCTCATAGTGTATGACGTAATCCTGGCAGAGGCGCTTAAAGGATGATGTTGGTAGATGCGCCTTATGTAGTAATAGATTGTGTGCTAATTCCTTAGGTCAATCCTTAGGAATGAATGAATGACGGGTAATTGAATTCTGAGGGTAAAATTCTAAGAAATAAAGATGATAATAGGGATGGGTAATTGGGTTGATTGTTTGATGGTTGAATATAATAATTATATTATTGTGGGTTGAAAACCCTATATGCTCACCAGGCTCCCAAGCCTGACCCACTCAGTTTTCTTTGCATTACAGGTAATGGCACAAGAGTATAAGTTGGTGGACTTGACGAGAGATTTTGGATTATAGATCAGTAGTTATAAATGACTGTTGTAAGGTCTATTTTATATTGTTTATGCTTTTGATCTGTATCGGAACATGACATCCCGAGATTTTGTTATTTAATGAAAATACATTTCTTTAAAGAAATGTTTTGATAAATTCTTATCACATTTTGTTTTGGGAACAAATTCCGCAATTGTTTTCTTTAAAAGATTACTCTGATTTATAAAAACAAAGCACAAACAAATCGGTCTTTTCTGGCTGTGAAATTGGGGATGTCACATCCTCATATAGACTTATTCATGTAAGTCGCCATGAAGAAAGGCGTTATTTACATCAAGCTGTTGGATTTTCCATTTTCTTTTGACAGCCAAAGCAACTAAACATCTTACTGTGTTGAATTTGACTACAGGTGAAAAAGTTTCATGGTAATCAATACCAGCTTTCTGGGTGAAACCTTTCGCTACCAACCGGGCTTTATGCCTCTCAACTGAACCATCAGCCCTATACTTGACTTTGAACACCCATTTACATGAAATAGGCTTCTTGCCTTTTGGTAGTTTAACAATATCCCAGATATCATTATTTTGTAATGCTTGTAACTCTTTTGTCATTGCATCCTCCCAATTTGGATCGCCTTTTGCTTGATGATAGAATGTAGGTTCCAAAATATGATTGGTGACATTAAAGGCAAAATGTTGAGTATGAGTATCATCAATAGAAGGATGAGATATTGAATGACCAAGCCCAATACAAAGATTAGTGATTGTATGATCACAATGATGATGAAGATCAGTAGAAGAAACAAGATTGCATATATAATCTTGTAAATGTGATGGAGGATGAGAGACTCTTGTTATCTTCTTAAAGGCAGAATGGATGATATTGTTTCTGAAAAAGAGTTATGAGGTGGATCTTCATGACTTTGTGGTGAATGAGACTCATGATTAGAATGATCAACTATAGAGATTGGAAGATAACTGTCACTGAATGATGATGACTTCTGGTGAGAATGAAGAGGAAAAATATCTTCCAAAAATTTGATGTCTCGACTTACAGAGATTTCATTTGTGGTTAAGTTTAAAATCTTGTAAGCTTTTCGAGCATAAGGATACCCAATGAATACACATGGATGAGTACGAGGAATGAACTTATCCCTTCCTGTCCTTGGAGTGATAACATAGCCTAAACACCCAAATGCTTTAAGATGTTGTAAATCTGGCACAACATTATATAAGACTTCAAATGGTGTCTTATGTTGAAGAACTTTCGTAGGCATTCTATTGATTAAGTGAATAGCTGTTTTGACAAATTCGCCCCAATAGATGTGTCCGAGTCCCGATTGGAAATACAAGGCCCTTGCAACTTCTAAAATGTGGCGATGTTTTCGTTCAACTAAACCATTTTGTTGAGGACAATATGGTGTTGATTTTTGATGAATGATGCCTTTTGTTTGAAAAAATTCAACTCCTTCATTGCTGGAACCCAACTCATATGCATTATCAGATCTGATAATTTTTATGGTCTTGTGAAATTGAGTTTGTATGTGAGAAACAAAAGCTTTAATAAGATTCCATGCTGCACTTTTATTACTCATTAAATGTATCCATGTATGGCGAGAATAATCATCAACAATGGTTAGAAAGAATTTAAAACCATCATGAGTAGCATGTTTATAAGGAACCCATATATCAATGTGCACTAGATCAAAAGGATGATTAGTATGAGATATGCTTTTAGGGAAAGAC